GACTTCTCAAAAATTGTAGACCAGTGTAATTTGCCCAAGGTCAGACAGGTCCCAAACCAGAAAAATGTTTAAGCATGTGGGTAACTTTATGCATGTAAGCTGTTCCATTGATCTCAATGGAACTATTCATGTGCTTGAAGTTATTCATCTGCATAGCTGCTTTACTAAGATATGGGTCGCAGTTACTTATTGGTAGAATCAGGAACTACCAGATCTGGTAGAAGCCAGATCTCCCTACTTCCAGTGGTAGGCTTTAATGGTTATACTAGAGATATTACAGTGATGAGCATGTTATAAATGCCTAGACAGATGCATGCACACACTGACTGTTTTTTCTCTTGAGCCAGGAAATCAGTTCAGGTGAAATAGATTACCTGAACCTCATTCAAACCTTAGAATCATAGCGTCATAGAATATTCGGGTTGGAAGAGACCTCAGGAGGTCATCTAATCCAATCCCCTGCTCAAATCCTTAATCCTTTCTGAGGGTTGAAAAGTCAAAAATTTAGATTACCGTTTCCAAAGAGTTCTAAGGGAGTTAGGAGTGTTGATGGGAGTTGGATGCCTAATTCCCATAAGGCTCCTTTGAAAATCCCAATCTAAATTCCCTTACAACCTCTACCCATCCTGATTTCATCAGGGATTGGAAGCAGAACCAGCACATTAATTCATAAAAAGCTACTCTTGCAGTATTTCCGGTCCAGCTAAAACCAAGGAAGCACCTGAAATCTTAAGGTTTTGAGCCTACTTTTGGTGAGATTTTCTAAGCCAAAGAGGTTGGCATAATCACCTCTGAACATTTTGAGGTTTGCACGTCTCTAATTATGGGGCAGTTCAGAAGCCTACAATCCTTGATGGACAGCAACCTCTACAGCTTGAGAATAACAAATTTTTCAGTAAATCATAAAATAAAAAAAAAATTGTTTTGAACAAAATGTTTCGTTTGATCCAAAATGAAACGTTTCATTTCAAGTTTGAGCATTTTTAACACATTCACATTCTTTTTTAATACAATTGAAGGGAAATTTGAAAGAAACAGTCATTTCAAACAGAGAAAAATTGAAATATTTTGTTTTGAAAATGTCAACTTTTTCTGAATTTATTTGGTTTGTTTGTCAAAATGAACAGTTCAGGAAAACTGACACAAATTGGTGAAATGTGTGTTTTGGCAAATCTGCATTTTTTGTTGAAAATTTCACCCAGTTCTAGTAACTGCATAGTGCAATAGCAGAGAGAGCACTACATTAAACGCACCTAGGCATGCATGCATGGGGCTCCTCTTAATTAACTGAGCCTCACAACACCCCAGAGGCAGGTAAATATTATTATCCCTATTACACAGGTGGGTAAACTGAAGCACAGAGAGGAAAAATGGATTTGCTTAAGGTCATCGCACCGAGTCAGCGGGGAGCCAGAAATAGAATCCGGGAGTTTTCAATGCAGTCTGACCACTAGATTTCCACCCCCACTCCATGTATTTATATATAGATTTGGCAGAATTAGATTTTTTAAAAAATAATTTTGAGAGACATCTATTTTTAATCTTCTTTTTATTTGTATCTATTAAAATTTTCACAGTTGCACAAGACTATGGACTTTAAGCAATATTTTCCCTATTTTTATCAACTTAAATTTTCACAGTGGAAAATTAATGGGGTTGTCACCTGGGGCAGGGTCAACCAATAATTATTTAATGACAGTTTGATGCTGATATTAAAAAAAATTAAGGTTTGATAACCATTAAAACACAAATTGTCAACATTGCATGTCACGCTATACAAAATAAATATCTTTACATTAAACTCTAAGTTCTCAAGCACCATATTTCTCACTTTGTTTAACTCTACATTTCAGCTATTATCAGTGGAAATATTTCCTCATCAGTTGGTATGTGTACAGCGAAACAGACATTTACTGATGTTTACAGATTAAAAATCGAATCCTTCAAAGCCTATTTATATGCCATGAGAGAGAATTAAGATGTTGTAAATTTTATGGTAATCCTAATTTATAAATGGTGTGTTACCAATCTCCTCACACATCAGACCACTTTCTCTCTTTCTTTCTCCAGATGAGAAACCTTTCGTGGTAGAAGATACCTATTTGCTCTGCCCAGCACCTGTATTACGAGAAGTTGGCATGTAAGTTCTTAGAGATATCCACCAGCATTTGAAATTGACTGATCCCATTTATTGCCTGAGGAAGAATAATTGATTTGTCTGCTTTTAACTAACATACATCCCTGTATTCACTATTAAACTGGGCCACAGTTACTTCCTATCCACAAATTCCACGCAGGAAAACTGAACCACAGTCTGTTGGTCATGTATGGACATGTCAGGACTGACTAGATCTTATCTTAATTGTAAAACAGTAGCCTTAGAAGCTCTCTCTGAAATTATTTCAATAGTGTAAAGCCAGGGCCGGCTCCAGGGTTTTGGCCGCCCCAAGCAGCCGAAACAAAACAAAACAACAACAACAAAAAAAGCCACGATCGCGATCTAAAAAAAGCCGCGATCGCGATCTGCGGTGGCAATTCGGTGGGAGGTCCTTCACTCCCAGGCGGAGTGAGGGACCGTCCGCCGAATTGCCGCCGAATACCTGGAACTGCCGCCCCTGTCCGGAACGGCCGCCCCAAGCAACTGCTTGAGAAGCTGGTGCCTGGAGCCGGCCCTGTGTAAAGCTAGACAGTGGGGTATTGAGCCTCCAGTGCTCCTGTGACTCAAGATATGATCCAAACAACGGGATTTTGTGAAAATCTGCTGATCTTTGGGAGTTGGGAGACAGTTAAAAAGGGGGAGAACTGGTCATAAGACAGAAGTGGCCCAGTCCTGCTGCCCTTTCTCACTTAGAAATCCAGATCCAGACCCATTCAAGTCAACTGATTTGAATGGGCATTGACTCAGTTACTGTTGACTTATGTGAAGAAGGATGCATGATTGGCTTAAAGCATGGAAGACAATGCTGAATTAGTTTGTCTCTGACTGCCCATACTGCACAGCTCTAGAAGTTCTGCAGTGCATCATCATTCCTCGGTTTTAAGAGACCACTTTGTTATTGGACAACAGTCACTGCATCTGCTCAGTTCTTCCGCACAATGTTATACTAAATGTTATACTACCGTGAAGCATTGCAGCTGGAGCTGCGAGAAATCAGTCATCACCTGCAGATTCTGTAAATCTGGCCTGTTAATAGGTTTAAGAGATCATACAATTTTTTTTTTAAATGTGTGTTGCTTGTTTGTGTCCCATTGCCTCTTCCCACTGCCTCTCCTATAGTAACATCACCATAATGATAAGGCAGGCAGGTGCATTACTAACTGTCCACTGTATCCAAAGATTTTGTACTGCTGTCCATCACCAAGGTATCTCCTCTCTTTTCACATGCATTGGATTGGCAATAGCAAGGTCCCTAGTAGAGTTCATGGAGTCATTCCTTCCTCTTCCTTTTGGGTTATAGGAATTCTGCTTGAGGAAGGCATTTCTGTTTTTCATTTTGTGTGGGAAGCAAGCAGAGTGGGGCTGATGATGTAAATGTCATTCTGGTTATGGTGGAAATATGATATGGTAGTAAGAGAGTTTTTTGCAACTTTCCCTAAAGACAGGCAGATTCTAGATTAGTCTAATCTCCTCTGGAAATTCATTCCATAGCAGGAACCCTTCACTAGAGAATGCTTTGTCCCCAGCTCTCATGTCCCTTGTTTTGGGCTTTGCGCTCTGTACTCCGCAGTTCTTGACATATTTGTGACGTCCTCTCATCCAATGAATTGAGAGGGTCAAGTGTTTTTTTTTTTATTCCCAATTGGAATAGAAAGTACAGAGCTCGAGGAAGATGATGTAATTTTTAATCCCGTGTCAATTAGTAGAGGGAAAACAGTTCTTTATATGGGAGTGGGGAATACCCTGTTGTTATGCTGGAGAGGGAGTTTGTATGTATGTTCTGACCCTAATAAACAGAACAGACAATTGTTAACCAAAGGTACAGACATTTAATGACTAGTGAGATTAAGGAGCGCAAGGCAGACTTGTCAGTAGCAGGTAGGATCTAGCAAACCTGGAAGCAGATAGTAGAAATACCCGATAATACAGCCAGTTAAGGAAAATATAGAGCAGCTCTAAATTGTGCTAAGGCTAGGTTGGGCCTAGGACTAAGGGAATGAAGAGGTGATATTTTGCTCCCTTCTTTTCTCAGCAGTGTCAATTTTTTCTCCATATAATACATTGCACAGTTGGCTGAGTGCATTACAATATGGGGGTGAGGATGGGGGGGAATTAGCCTATGTTTGAAACCTCAGGTACTGGCCAGAACCTGATATCAGGATCCCAGATTCAAGGGGGGCATGTGTCTGATGCAGCATGGCAGATGGCTGTCCTGGTTTTTCTTTTTGCAGGGAGGCAGCTCTTCAGGTCAGCATGAATGACGGCCTCAGTTTCATCTCAAGTTCTGTCATCATCTCCAGCACACACTGTGTAAGTTTCAACTTTTGTGCATAAAATTTTTCAGTAGCAAAAGGGTTCTAAAGCACATATAATCTGTGCTAGTACTGGTGCTTGAGGCTTGGGTGAGTGGTATGCTAAGGAGCCACCTCTCTGCCTTAGTGGTGAGCTCTTATGCATGGCCCTCATGCACTACCATTCCCCATGTGGTGTGCACCTTAACGTGGGTTTGGAGCAAGCAACTCGTGCTCTATCTGAGATAGAGCATGTATGGGAGACGAGGAAGTGGTTTTGTGATATAGCAGAGATGTCAGGGCCTGGTTCTCCACTGCTTTGCTCCTTGCACGGTGAGTGCAAATTGCACCAGCTAATCAGACATGTCCACTCACACCGGTGGTAGCTGTTTAAATCCACTTTGCATAGATGTAAATGATGGCACAAGTTGCAAGGCAGTGACAGTCAGACCCTTTGTCTATAAATCGATATCCCCCCAGAAGTTTGGGGAGCTCTGCATAAGTGCAGAGCCAGCACTGACCCCACATCCTCCTTTGCTAGCAATGCTTGAGTCACTTGTTCTCATAAGCCTCTTGCAGCAGCCGGAGCAAAGGAAAGCAACTTCTTACAGTTAATAACACCGTTGTCTTGAAGGGGGTTTTAATTCTGCTAAAGTGAGACCATTGGGAAGGGAGGCCTCATGGTAGTAAGGATAAAGGAGATTTGGGAGGAATTTACTTTGTGCTCATGAAAACAGAAAATATTGGGAATCTCATGAGAAGGTGGGAGTTCTGACTGAATAGAATGTGTAGGATTGGGACCCATGTACATAGCATGTGAGATTCATAAGTTTGGTCAAGCCTTTTGACTGACCTGTGTGGGCTTAAGCTAGTGAAAAGGGGGTTCTGTTATATACCGTTGCTTTGAAATAAGCTGTTTTATTAAGGTAAGGTCACAGTTATAGGGCACAACCCTACCAGGTGCTGAGTGCCTCCTGCGTGATTCTAAGCACCTTAGGTTACCATTGAAACCTGTGGGAGTTGAGACCCTTAGCAGCTAGCAAAAGATATTCAGAATCTTTTGGGGTCTGGCCCTGGATCTCTAAGCATCACTAATCAACACCCATATTGATGCCATTTAAAACTTCGTTCTTCATGCAATGATGTGTTTACATCTGGCTTTCTTCACTTCATCGCTGTTCAGAGAGACCAGCATAAAGCCTATGCCCTGCTCTTACGCCTTGTGCTGGCCCTCTGCACTGTCATAAATTTCATACGAAGGACCAATTCCTGCAGTCAATATTCAGCCAAAATTTCCCAGGGAGTCTTGGCTGAGAAAGGACTGCAGGATTTGACTTGAAGACTTTTATGGCAGGTCTCTTTGCCTGCCCCCTTAAAATCTGCCAAACAAAATTGCAACATGTTTCTATGTGGAGCTAATGAAAGGCCAAGTTATGTAATATCCACATACCAAGACTATTCAGCTGTGATCCATGAACACTGATGCACAGGCTTAGGGGGAAAATATCTCCTGTACCATTTCACCTGTCGCAACAACGACAAGATTGTCTAGAGACACCAGCATTGTCTACATGATTAACACATCAGTTTTCAGAGCTGAGATGAAGGCTTATTTCTCTGCAATTGACAAGGGCATCTTTATGCCTTGAGAGAGGGGCTTTTATTTCAGCTGGATTTGATATTTCAATTCAAGTTCTCTTTGCTGCCATGGTGAAAGAGTGTGTGTGTGTGTGTGTGTGTGTGTGTGTGAGTTTTCTCTCTCTCTCTCTCTCTCTCTCTCTCTTTCTCTTAATGTACAATTTTTCTGCTTTGCCTTTTGAAGCAAGATATGGATATGATCAACACAGACAGCAAAATGCAGCTGTTTGACATCTGCAACATGGGGCAGATACTCAGTTGGTATAAATTGTCTTAGCTCCAACAGCACTGTGACAATTTACACCAAAGGAATATTGGCCCCATTGACTTCAATGGAGCAGCTCACATATGAATTGTGAGAGCAGAACTTGATGATTTCATTCATTTCCAAGAAGGGGATGGACACTAAAAAAAAAAATTAATGGAGATATCCTGTCTCCTAGAACTGGAAGGGACCTTGAAAGGTCATTGAGTCCAGCCCCCTGCCTTCACTAGCAGAACCAAGTACTGATTTTGCCCTAGATGCCAAAGTGGCCCCCTCAAGGATTGAACTCACAACCCTGGGTTTAGTAGGCCAATGTGCAAACCACTGAGCTATCCCTTCCCCCCATAACTATTCTCGCTTGCAACATTTAGGATAAAAGCAATGAGCTGTTCCTTTAGTGCAGTCCCTGTCGGATGATGCTTCATGCAAGAAGCATGAGAACATTTAAAACACAAGATTTGTAGGATTCAACATTCTAATTAAAAAAAAATTCTTCCTTTGAATTTCTGGTTTTCCATATGTTCTGTATTGGGAGGCTACTCAGCCAACACATTCAGAGTAAGGTAAAAATCAGCAGATTCGGTATGTCTAGAGGTAAACACAAATTATTTAAATCTGCTTGTTCATTCTATAAATGTGTGTATAGCGGTATAGATTTCAGAGACTCATAGATGGAGAGACAGATATGGCACTACACAAGTGTATAGTACAGTATATTTTTGTATCTCTGCCTGTTCTAAGTGACCCTAATTTGATCCTAAGTATGGAGCTTTCATCACTTAATTGGGACATAGTTGGATAGAACTCACTGTAGCAACCTTTTCACTGATACTTCCCCTAATATTTTTGTGGGAATTATTTCCAGGCAGTAGGCTGCATAATGGTGATCATTTCACCTACACTGGGTGCATAGAAAATTTCCTCCAATTTGAAAGCTTTTGTTGGTTCTGGCAGTATTCCCGGTGACAGCCACCTTTTCAAAAATACCTGCTAATCTTCAGTACCTCTGAGTTTGAGTATCCAACCTGTGAAACCATAAGCCTGTTTTCCAAAAATGCTGAGCAACCCCACCCCCAATTCAGATCAATTCCAGCATCTCTGAAAATGTAGTTTGCATGTGGTGTGTCAAGCATGGTGTTCAAACTCAGTGACCTGCTTTGAAAATTTGGTTGTAAATGTCTCTTAAATTGTTTGGAAAGTTTCTTTTGGAGAAGATAGGGTGACGAGACAGCAAGTGTGAAAAATCGGGATGGGGTGGGGGGTAATAGGAGCCTATATAAGAAAAAGCCCTAAATATCAGGACAGTCCCTATAAAATCGGGACATCTGGTCACTCTAGGAGAAAAGAGGGGTTTATTTATTGTCTGTGTTTAAATAGCACCCGCTGTAGACATAGTAACCGGGATCATTTCTCAGATTCTTGATCTCTTTAAAGAAAGCTAAAACAAGGGCTCCAATCTTGCAAATGCTTACATACGTGCATAACTTCAGGCAATTGATGAATAGTTGTGACTGGCTTCAAGCTTGAAAGATGAGCACATGTGTGTTTGCAGAATCACGCCAAAGCCAGTAAATTTGGAAAGCTGCAGCAGGAGGTGACAGTACAGTGCAGAGAGAGCTTCTTTCCTCACTTTGCATACAAACCTTGGAGGGGAGGGAAGGGAATAGGTCGTTTGTAAAGACTGAAGTAAATCTTTCCTCCATGGCACGTCAGTGAAGCTCTTTGCAGACGGCATGCAAAAACTGCCGTAGATCTGGAACGATGTCCTGAACGTACCACAAATTCTTCCCGTCTGTGCATCTCCCACCCGGATCACAACAACAGCTCAGTGTTTGGCACTTGTGCAAACGCTTTAACTCTCAGAACCATTGCTCACCAGAAGCTGCGGTTTATTGGGCAAATGAGTAAGCAAATAGAGGTTTCATTCAGAAAGTGGTGCCCACACCAGTGTTTCCATATTTCCTGAGGTTTGGGGATTGGCCTCCTACTCAGAAGATGAAAGTGGGTGGCACCATGCTATGTGAAACCTCTGAGGAGCCAGAATGTATGTATGCTTCTTTAAAATATATGTGTTTGCCCAAGTCTGGAGAATCAGCAAATGGAGTGTGGTGCACCTGTCTCATTTCCCAATCCAGCGTGACTTGTGAGCTGCAAAGTTTGAAATTCTATCAATAGCTCAAGAAATCATAGTAACAATCCTTCCGGCTGGAGACGGGTTCTAGCCAGAAGTTCAGATCCAGATTTCAAGCAGTCTGAAGGTCAGGAGTGTTTGGATGCAGGGAGCTTTGTTCTGTTCTGAAGACTGGGACTGTTTGTAAACATGGAGTTGGGTTCAGATTTTCCTCCACCCACCTGAGTCCCATATTTGAGGCCGTATAGATGCAGGCCCAGCATTAATTACTGAAAAATAAAGATCCAGTCAGTCACACTAGAAGCATTGTCTAGGGTTTCACAGATGTCTACACTGTAGCTGGGAGAGAGCTGTGGGTAGACACTGGCTTTAGTTTAGCTTGACCTAGTGTGCTAAAAATAGCCGTGTGGACATTGTGGCTCTGGTGGAGGCTTGGGCTAGCTACCGAATCCAAGCCTACCCAGCCTCATGGGTTTGAACTCAGGTAGCTAGCCTGAGGCTCTTCTGGAGCCTCAAATGTCCACACTGCTATTTTTAGCGCATCACCTCCCTTGATGCTAGCATGTGTCTGTCTCCCCGGGCTGGGAGGCTCTCTGCCAGCTGCAGTGTAAGCATACCCCCAGAAAACAATTAGCATTAGCTCGCTTTCTAGCAAGCATTTGTCCAAAGAACTGGCCAACATCCAACTCCCATTAAAGCCAATGGAAAGACTCACCATTGGATCAGGCTCACAGGGATGAGAGGGGAAGAGCTTATGATGAAAGATTGGAATAACATATTATAACATGGCAAAATGACCTCTGAGCAGGGGGGACGTAACTGCCAGTTTGTAAAGGCCGTAAACATCAGAGAGGGGAGTGAATATCTGAGGCTGTTGCCCGTGGGTATAAACTTTCAAAAGGAATGTTTATATTCAGAAACCTTCCTATCAGTGACAGGTTTCAGTGGTAGCTGTGTTAGTCTGTATCAGCAAAAAAAACAAAAA